CCATGTGTATCTCGAATGCTCGGTGCCAGGATGCTTCGTAAATATTTGGCGATTGATTTTTGTTCCCAAAAGTATACAAGCAAACCATGAATTTCGAAACAATGGTAAAAATGGTCGAAATCTAAAGAGATTATCAAAAAGATATTTCATCATACTACCATTAACGGTATGATAAAATTACACGTTCTATAATTGGCAAGGGAAGCAAAAAGAAAAGAAAAGAAAAAAAATAATTAAATCCAAAAAGAGTTCCGATATTAATAATATTCTTAAACAAGAATCTGGATATTTTTTATTTACATTTATTCGTATTTTATTCAACTGTGACCAATAAAAATTTGTATGAAAATATTAATTCCAAGTTTTTTCAGACAACAAATTCCTATTGCAAAATAAAATCAACACTTCAAGTGTTCCGAAAATTTTGAGAGTTTCAAAACCTTACAGAGTTCCGGACTCGAATTTAAAAATTAGTTTCAAATCAATTCAAATCACATCGTTGAATTAAAATCAATGTTTTAGTCATTTATAATGATTTTAACGAACGTGTGATCAGTGTACACTGATAGACTGCAAATCTTTAGAAAAATTCACATTTTTATGAAATGTAATTGAAGAATGTCTAGAAAAGTCATCACTATATCCTAATACATACATTCTTCTTGAAAATATATTAAAAAAGTATATTTTTGCTTTTCTATATAGGAGAAAAGGAACACCTACAGTATTATTTACAAATTTAAATAAATTCGTTTTCAACGAGAAATTTTTTTAATTAGAAAGATACAACCTCTGAGAACTCTGTAATTACAGAAACGTGGCCGCAGAGAAATATAGGTAGAAACTTGTTCCTCCCATTAAGTGTTCAAAACAAGTCTCGCGAAAGAAGTTTCAGACAGACCCGATACAAATTCAACACGTTCCCTGCCAAGCTGCATTTGACGAAATATCATTAACCACCATGTGCCTAAACCTAACCTAAAACGGTACATGTTATAATGTGTTAACACTTTGCTGTCTGGCAAATTAATAAAAATGAAAATAAACCGGACATAAAATAACGCAGTGCAATAACACAATAAAAAGTAAAAATATTCATCCAGATAAGATAATTTACAAATGATGCTCAAAGTCCAGTATATGCTTCGGACTGTAATCTCAGTCTCCCGACAGCAAACTGTTAACCCCTTCCAAATCATTGAGAACATCGCTCTCTAGAGGGTAGAATTCCGTTTACCTTGTTTCGTCAGCGAAAACGAATTTCCTGAGTTTCAAATCTCTGAGCACGACCCCGTACTCGTGGCAGATAGCTACAGCCCTGGCTGCTTGCCGGAAGAGCCGCCTCGCCTCCGGTTCCCGCAGTCTCCTACGCGCCCTCACGTATGCGTGCAGGTCACCGTGGTGGCCCTCCAGCAGCAGATAGCGCCGACCTCCAGATGCTTCCACCACGCCTGCGACACCGCTCGCTGCCCCGGTGCCCTCTAATCGAAGGTGGGCCTGTAGCAGTGCCTCGCAACCTTTGTCGCCCACGGTCAACGCCTGGAAATTTGGAAGAATCGTTGTTGCGTCATTTCGCTACCATCCATACAATCGGGGCAAATACATACACTGCAAAGATCATTACATCACTGCGGGAAAGAGATGTAACGTGAAATAGGAATTTTAAAATAAAATTGTAAAACCTAACCTTAACCTAAACCTAAACCTAATCTAACCTAACCTAAAACCAGTCATTTTGACTGGTGTGGTAGAATTCTGTAAACCTGAACCTAAACCTAACATAAACCAGTCATTTTGACTGATGTGGTAGAGTTCTGTAAACCTGAACCTAAACCTAACCTAAAACCAGTCATTTTGACTGGTGTGGTAGAGTTCTGTAAACCTGAACAATCTAATCTAAAACCAGTCATTTTGACTGGTGTGGTAGAGTTCTGTAAACTTGAACCTA